GGTCTGGGTTCCTCCTTTTCACCTGTTGGCTGACTGGAGTCCTGTTTGGGTTTCTTCTCTGCTTTCAGGAAGGCCCAGTTAGGATATCCACATTGCTCTAGAGCCTGTCTTGTGTGGGATTTCTCCTTCTGCCTGGCTCCTGAGCTAGTGGGGACGCTGTCTGCTCTGTGATACAGAGTCCTGATGACTCCTAACTTGTGCTCCAAAGGGTGATGGGAGTCAAACTGCAAATACTGGTCTGTGTGTGTGGGTTTGCGGTACACCTCAGTTTGCAAATGTTTTGTTTTTTTTGAATGTCCAGAGGACCAGATTTAACTTTTTTAGATTTTTCTACCTGGATTATTGAGCATGCATCAGGATAATAGGACCACATCATCTGCAAAAAGCAGAGAAGCGATCCTAAGGCCACCAAAACGGATCCCCTCAACACCTTGGCTGCGCCTAGAAATTCTGTCCATAAAAGTTATGACCAGAATCGGTGACAAAGGGCAACCTTGGTGGAGTCCAACGCTCACCTGGAACGAGCCCGACTTACTGCCTGCAATGCGGACCAAGCTCTGACACCAATCATACAGGGACCTAATAACCCGTATCAAAGGGCCTGGTACCCCATACTCCCAGAGTCCCCCCACAGGGTTCCCCAAGGGGCATGGTCGAATGCCTTCTCCAAGTCCACAAAGCACATGTAGACTGGTTGGGCAAACTTCTACGCACCCTCCAGGAATCTGCTGAGAGTGTAGAGCTGGTCCAGTGTTCCACAACCAGGACGAAAACCGCACTGCTCCTCCTGAATCCGAGGTTCAACTATCCGACGAACCCCCCTCTCCAGGACGCCTGAATAGACCTTACCAGGGAGGCTTAAGAGCGTGATCCCCCTGTAGTCAGTGGTGGGATGTAACTATGTACAAATATTGCTTTGTTTTGTTTTTTGTTTTTTTTTAATGTCCAGAGGACCAGATTGAACTTTTTTGGATTTTTCTACCTGGATTATTGAGCATGCATCAGGATATGTACAAATACTTCGTTACTGTACTTAAGTACATGTTTCATGTATTTGTACTTTGCTTAAGTAGAGTTAAATGTGGGTACTTTATACTTTTACTCCACTACATTTTACATCAAGTATCTGTACTTTATACTACACTACATTTCTATAATGCGTTGCGTTACAATTACATTCATATTGTGGCTTTTTGATTTGTTTGCTACTTTGAAAGTAACTAACGGCGAGAGGGGAGTTGGTCCATTGAATCACTGCAAAGTGGGCAGGTAACGTTAGACCCGTCTTCAAGAAGAGATGGGCCAATGACATATATTCTAGTATATATGTCACTGAGATGGGTGCACCTGCAGCACTGCTAACACACCCAAAATGTATTCCACCACAAGAGAGTCAGCCAGAAGATATGCTCCACCCATGGCCTTATTGAAAGACTGCTCAGTACAACAGGACAGATTCTCTCTCCCAAAAGAGCCAGATTGAACTCAAAAATCTTTGAAAACCAACTTCTTCTGAACTTGAACAAGAAATTCTTGCTGCAATATTAAAATGTGTCAGTTCATGATGTTAGGACAGGAGACAAGAGATGTCTCCAAATGGCTCGACACTCGGGTCCAAGTTTTAAAAATGGTGTCAGAAAGTTACAATATTGTTCAATATTGACCCATTACAAGGTTGAATAGACAGTATTTTAAAAAGTGTTGATGACAAACTGGAGTTGAAATGATCAGAGCCTATTCCTTTGTTAGGTGTGTCTAACGCCCCTTTTGTTTAGGCAGACAACTTTTTACTTAAATGTGTTTACTGCAGTTAAAATGACACGTTGGTGTTGCTTTGTGTTAAATAAAAACTTTCAAAGGTATAATCATTCCTCTTTCCTATTTTGATTAATGACATTTAACTCTACATGTCATACCTGAAATTCTGACACAGAATCACAAGTCCAAGCGTGAACTGTCACAGAGTAAACACAATAAAAACATGTATTATCTGCAGCATTGTTTATTAAAATGGCTCAACACTATTAATGTATTACAGAAAATATACATCCTGTACGCAGACTTAAAGATAAGTATACCATTGCATTAGGTAATACATTCAGGAAGTACTTTTACTTTTAATACTTTAAGTATTTTAAAAGCAACTACTTATTTACTTTTACTTAAGTAAAATTGTTAATGTGGTACTTATACTTTTACTAGAGTACATTTTTGTCTGTTTATTTGTACTTTTACTTAAGTACAGTGTTTGAGTACTTTCTTCACCACTGCCTGTAGTTGGAACACACTCTACGGTCCCCCTTTTTTGAATAGGGGGACTACCATCCTGGTCTGCGAATCCAGGGGAACTTCCCCCGATGTCCATGCAATACTGCAGAGTCGTGTAAGCCAACACAACCCTACAACATCCAGAACCTTAAGGAACTCTGGGCAAATTTCATCCACCTCTGGGGCCCTGCCACCGAGGAGCCCACCGACCCACGACATCCCGAGTTGAGGTCAGCAGCACACCACCCCCACTATAAACAGTGTTGGTGGTGTACTTCTTTCTCCCCTGAGACGCTGGATGGTGGACCACAATCGTCTCGAAGTCGTACAGAAGTCATTCTCCATGGCCTCTTCGAATTCCTCCCATGCCCGAGTTTTTGCCTCAGCGACCACCCAAGCTGCATGTCCCTTGGACTGCCGGTACCCATCAGCTGCTTCTGGGGTCCCACAGGCTATAAAGGCCCGATAGGACTCCTGCTTGAGCCTGACAGCATCCCTCACCGCTGGTGTCCACCACCGGGTTCAAGGGTTGCCTCCGCGACAGGCCCCAACAACCTTGCGGTCGCAGATCTGGTAAGCTGCCTCAACAATAGAGGCACGGAACATGGCCCACTTGGACTCAATGTCCCCTACCTGCCCCGGAACATGTTCGAAGTTCTCCCGGAGGTGGGAGTTAAATCTCCGTCTCACAGGAGACTCTGCCAGACGTTCCCAGCAAACCTTCACAATATGTTTGGGCCTGCCAGGTCTGACCGGCAACCTCCCCCACCATCAGAGCCAACTCACCACCAGGTAGTAGTCAGTGGACAATTCTGCCCCTCTTTTCACCTGAGTGTCCAAGACATGCGACCGCAGATCAGATGAGACGACAACAAAGTCGATCATCGAACTGCGGCCTAGGGTGTCCTGGTGCCAAGAGCACATATGGACACTCTTATGCTTGAACATGGTGTTTGTTATGGACTATCCATGACAAGCACAGAAGTCCAACAACAGAACACCGCTCAGGTTCAGATCAGGGGGGCCGTTCCTCCCAACCACAACCCTCCAGGGCTCACTGTCATTGCCCACGTGAGCATTGAAATCCCCCAGCAGAACAAGGGAGTCCCCAGGAGGTGCAATCTCCAGTACCCCTATCCAAGGACTCCAAAAAGGGTGGGTAATCTAAACTGCTGTTTGGTGCATAAGCACAAACGACAGTCAGAACCCGTCCCCCCACACGTAGGTGGAGGGAGGCTACTCTCTCATTCACTGGGGTGAACCCCAACATACAGGCACCAAGATGGGGGGCAACAAGTATGCCCACTCCTGCTCGGCGCCTCTCACCAGGGGCAACTCCAAAGTGGAAAAGTGTCCAACCCTCTCTCAAGGAAACTGATTCCAGAGCCAGAGCCATGCGTAGAGGTGAGTTCGACTATTTCTAGCCGGAACCTCTCAATCTCACACACCAGCTCAGGCTCCTTTCCCACCAGAGAGGTGACATTCCACGTCCCGATAGCTAGCTTCTGTAGCCAAGGATCAGACCACCAGGGTCCCCACCCTTGGCCACCATCCATCCCACATTGCACCCGACCCCTTTGGCCCCTCCTACAGGTGGTGAACCCTTGGGAAGGGGGACCCACGTCTCCTCTTCAGGATGTGCCCGGCCGAGCTCCATGAGTAAAAGCCCGGCCACCAGGTGCTCGTCAGCGTGCCCCATCTCCAGGCCTGGCTCCAGAGTGGGGCCCCAGTGACCCACATCCGGGCGAGGGAACATCGATTCCATTTATTTTTCTCATCATAGATGAGAATATGTTGGGAATATTTTGAAATTGTTGGTTAAACCTTAAAGTCCAACACACATATTTTTATGTTACACATTCAGCTAAATATGATAGAAATATAAGAAATAAATACCTCTGTTCTGTGGCAAACATAGAAAATTAATGCTAATTATATTTAGCTTTGCAAACAGCTCCTTCATGTCTGTTTATGGGGTGTGACGTCACACCATGGATCCAATCGTGCAGCGCTGACAGATTTTTATTGCTCAAGGCTGGAGGCAGCTGCAAAGACAGGCAGTCTCATGGAAAAAACACCCCCTCTCCCGCCAAACAAACAACCCCCCACCTCCTTTCTGACTGAGGACTGAAATTATTTGCCAAGCAGCAAAAAATCTACAAGAAGAAAAAGATGCAGAAGTTGATGGAAGTTTGGCAACGATAGAGACACAGCAGAGTGAGTAATGAGATCTGAGAGATTTGTGATATTTAATATGTTTGCATAAGTAAAAACATTGAGGGGATTTTTTAATGTGAAGATACATGTATAGATAGCTTCTGTTTAAGGTGGGAGATGGAGTCGCTGACCCAGTGATGGACGGAGCCGTCAAGTCAGAACCTTCTGGGAGAGGCAGAGAAGAAAATGAATGTGAGATAGAGTGAGGACTTTGACAAGGAAGTGAAAGACCCATAATTTGTTTTACAAGAGAAAAGTATCAAAGTTTCACCGTAGAAAAGAGTGCACTCAGCACCACACTACACACAGTCTGTGAACACACTCCTGCTTGTGAATACACACTGTGTGGACTGTCCACACTGGAGTCTGATGACTGTCGCATTTAAATTTTTATGTGAATGACCATGCAAATAAATAAATAAAATGGATCTTAGAAAAAAAGTTAATAAGCATTAAGACCTGCAGAGTGAATCTAGTCTTAATTAAAAACATTTATGTTTTTTTTTAGGTGAACTGACTATAGTAGCCTTCTTGAATTAGATGGATTCCAAATGTTAATCAGTTGTAGATATGCACCTCAAATGATTTATCTCTGAGAGTTTCACAAAACACATACACACACACACACACACAAGTTCATTTTGCTATCTTTATGGGGCCTTTGCATTGACTTCCCTTCATTTTTCATTAATTTCTAGAGCCTGACCCTGACCTTTACCCTAAACCTAACCATTATCTGTACATACCTAACCCTAAACCTAACACATCCTCAATTCACACTTTAGTCCTAAACTTAACCCCTAACCCATCAACGGGACTTCTTCTTATGGGGCCTGGTCTTTGGGCCCCATAAGGAGCAGTTGGTCCTCACAGTGTAGTATAAGTTGAAAAAATGGGGCTTACAAAGAAGCATAAACAAGGACACACACCCAGCATCAGGCAACAATGGTTGATGTGGACTGTGTGAATTTTATTTCATGTATAACCTGTAGGTCTTCTGTTGCTCTTGCAGCTCATTCTTCCTGTGGTTTAGCAGTTCTGGTGAGGAATCATCGAGCAGAGTCTTTGCTGTAGAAGAAAAAAGACAGTTCTGTCCTCAGTAAAAAAACAAATATGTCTATCTGGCAACTGATGTTATTTATTTTAAATGTTATTAAAATAAAAGATAGAAAACAACATTTCACTTTAGTCTAGTAGATAATTAAATTTATCCAGTGAAAAATGGAATGCTGTGAAAAATAAAAACCCAGAAGGCTTGTTGTAAATTTTATAATTTCTGCAGTATTTTTACTGAGAAACTCTGTAAATACCCTGCTCTCTATGGGCACCATCATTCTGACAATCTATAAAAACAAGTCTAAAGCAAGAATAAATACCCATTTTGTCTTTAATAAAAGGCATAAAAACTTTAATCTAAAATACAAACTGAGACGTTGTTTTCCTGTCAACTGCTTCCTCCTGCAGGGGTCACCACAGTGACACACATAAGATTTATCAGTTGTATCCTGATGCTCCTCAATAATCCAGGTAGATAAATCTAAGAAGGTTGAGTTGGGTTCTCTAAATGGATTCTTCTTGTTGAAACCTTTCATCTTTTATCCAAAAGACTTCTTCAGCCTGAGGAGCTGCAAAGCAAACATCATCTGCAGGCCAGAGGTCACTCTTTCAGAGATGAAGAGGAACAATGGTTTGAGAGAGGAGTAAAGGAGGCCATCTTTGTGAAGAGAACCCGTCTATCATTAAACAGGGGCGGAGCCTCCATGTCCCAACTGTCCCCCTCTTACAATGCAGTTATTGCTACTCAGGCCTCTTCTGAGTATTATTTAATGCAACTGGTTGCGACAAAGTACAGTGCCTTGCAAAAGTATTTGGCCTCCTTGAACTTTTCAACCTTTTGCCACATTTCAGGCTTCAAACATAAAGATATAAATTTTAATTTTTTGTGAAGAATCAACAACAAGTGGGACACATTCGTGAGGTGGAATAAAATTTATTGGATATATCAAACTTTTTTAACAAATTAAAACTGAAAAGTGGGGCGTGCAATATTATTGGGCCCCTTTACTTTCAGTGCAGCAAACTCACTCCAGATGTTCAGTGAGGATCTATGAATGATCCAATGTTGTCCCAAATGACTGATGATGATAAATAGAATCCACCTGTGTGTAATCAAGTCTCCGTATAAATGCACCTGCTCTGTGATAGTCTCAGGGTTCTGTTCAAAGTGCAGAGAGCATCATGAAGACCAAGGAACACACCAGGCAGGTCCAAGATACTGTTGTGGAGAAGTTTAAAGCTGGATTTAGATACGAAAAGATTTCCCAAGCTTTAAACATCCCAAGGAGCACTGTGCAAGCAATCATAATGAAATGGGAGGAGTATCAGACCACTGCAAATCTACCAAGACCCGGCCGTCCCTCTAAACTTTTATCTCGAACAAGGAGAAGACTGATCAGAGATGCAGCCAAGAGGCCCATGATCACTCTGGATGAACTGCAGAGATCTACAGCTGAGGTGGGAGAGTCTGTCCATAGGACAACAATCAGTCGTGCACTGCACAAATCTGGCCTTTATGGAAGAGTGGCAAGAAGAAAGCCATTTCTCAAAGATATCCATAAAAATTGTTGTTTAAAGTTTGACACAAGCACCTGGGAGACACACCAAACATGTGGAAGAAGGTGCTCTGGTCACATGAAACCAAAATCCAACTGTTTGGCCACAATGCAAAACGATATGTTTGACGTAAAAGCAACACAGCTCATCACCCTGAACACACCATCCCCACTGTCAAACATGGTGGTGGCAGTATCATGGTTTGGGCCTGCTTCTCATCAGCAGGGACAGGAAAGATGGTCAAAATTGATGGGAAGATGGATGGGGCCAAACACAGGACCATTCTGGAAGAAAACCTGTTTGAGTCTGCAAGAGACCTGAGACTGGGACGGAGATTTATCTTCCAACAAGACAATGATCCAAAACATAAAGACACATCTACAATGGAATGGTTTACAAATAAACGTATCCAGGTGTTGGAATGGCCAAGTCAAAGTCCAGACCTGAATCCAATCGAGAATCTGTGGAAAGAGCTGAAGACTGCTGTTCACAAACGCTCTCCATCCAACTTCACTGAGCTCGAGCTGGTTTGCGAAGAAGAATGGGCAAGAACTTCAGTCTCTCCATGTGCAAAACTGATAGAGACAAACCCCAAGAGACTTGCAGCTGGAACTGCAGCAAAAGGCGGCACTACAAAGTATTAACGCAAGGGGGCCGAATAATATTGCACGCCCCACTTTTCAGTTTTTTATTTGTTAAAAAAGTTTGACACATCCAATAAATTTCATTCCACTTCATGATTTTGTCCCAGTTGTTGTTGATTCTTCACAAAAAAATTACAATTTTATATCTTTATGTTTGAATCCTGAAATGTGGCGAAAGGTTGAAAAGTTCAAGGGGACCGAATACTTTCGCAAGGCACTGTATCTATCTTTGAGTACCCTTGAGAGATCCTGAGTACCACCAGTGGTACTTGGACCACAGTTTGAGAACCACAGTTTTAAAACAGGTACAGCAAATCTCTAAATGTTTACAGTAAGGCTGTGGAGACTTGTAGTAGTTAATATTCACAAAGGTTTCCAATTCTAACTCTATATTGTCTCATTTTGTTCAGAGAGCATGTACTTTGTATTTACTGCAGGCAAGAGCTCAGCATCACCCTTCATCAGTGCAGGTATTGGTTTAGTCTTCTGAGGAGAATTCAAAAATTTCAGTGAATTAATATTTTGTGATGATCAAAACTTTGAATACACACTGAGTCTTTTCAGTCTGTGTATAATTTGTTCTTTTGTTTATCAACTGACAATCAAACCGGGTCAGTGTTGTTTATGTTGTATGTAAGTATTTTGTTAACCCAACAATACTAAATATTAAAATCAAATTTGATCTGGCAGACCATTTTTCCATTTCTTATTTGAGAAAGAGTGCAAAGAGAATAACCTTCACATCAATGTGAAGAAGACAAAGGAGATGATTGTGGACTTCAGAAGGAACAAAAACATCTACACCCCCCTGAACATAAGAGGATCTGTGGTGAAAGTGTCTCCAGCTACAAGTACTTGGGTGTACACATGAATGACAACCTCAGCTGGAGCAACAACACTACCAGCCTGATCAAGAAAGCTCATCAGAGACTCTACTTCCTCAGACGGCTGAGACGAGCTGGTCTGGGAAGCTCAGTCCTCACCTCCTTCTACAGGTGTGCAGTGGAGAGCATCCTGTGCTCCAGCATCAACGTGTGGCATGGAGGCTGCACAGCTGCAGAAAGAAAAGCTTTGCAGAG